TATGGTTAGGGTTAGGATTAGGGTTTGGCTTAAGGTTACTTGCATATAATTATGCATAATTTATTGTTATTATAAGAGTAAGTACACGTAACGTGGAACAAGGATACCTTAAAATAAAGTGTTACCAAATAAAGTGTAACCAAAATAACAACATAAGCACAATGTAGCTTAAACACCAGAGAATCGAGCTAGCAAGGACATACGTTTGATTTCCATGGAATACATGAACTGATCAAATGCAATTATATTGGAAAGAAGCATTCTCCAAGTGCATAAATCTAAATGAACCAACATAAGCATCTGTAAATAATGGCAAATTTTTCATTTTGTGTGAGCAAAATCCTTTTAAGGCTCTGTAATTGATGTCACTAATATAAAAGATGTGTCCTTATTTGACTGTGTCAGATGTAAAGTGTAATAAAGTCAAGGGTACGTACTGGGCAATTACTAACTGCAGACATTGACAACCTATTTATTTAATTCTCATCAAACAGTCCTTCACGTGTCAAATCCCTACACAGTGCCTGACTGGCTGACAGATATAATGAAATGGGACCACTAATGAAATTGTTCTGTTTACGCCTTCTGAGAAAAATCCCATTGCACGCACACACATGACCCGAGACATTGTTGTCTGCATGTGCAGATAACCTTACACGGCTTTAAAACTCCCTCTGCAACACAGATGAAGGACTCTTTTCTTCATATACTGATGCTGGATTTGCCAGATGGGGGAGCTGGCCACGTGATGCACTTCATGATTAAATGTGCTTTTGTCCTTCATGCCTTTAAGCCCCAATGACAGCTTCCTTTCTCAGAATCTAATGCTGGGGGATCTGGCCTGCCTCTGGAACATCACCAAGGTGCTACATTATCGACTGTCATCACTCAGCACTTTGCACAGTCAATTTTAGTGGCCGTCCTCACGAGTTGCTGCCCTCATCAGTAGAAAGTGCTGTGTATAGCAGCTTTGAGGTGAGATTTAAAAGCCATAAGTGCGCATGGGACCTCAGAACTGAGTCAAAGCGCCTTTTAGGCAAATCGGTTCATTCTCTGACCATATTGATAACGCCTGCATGCTTTTATTTTCTAAGTAAAATACTTTTTCTAAAAAAAAAAAAGAAAAAAAAAAAAGAACAGTATGTTTCAAGATAAGCTTACTTAGATGGGGGAGCTGGCCACGTGATGCACTTCATGATTAAATGTGCTTTTGTCCTTCATGCCTTTAAGCCCCAATGACAGCTTCCTTTCTCAGAATCTAATGCTGGGGGATCTGGCCTGCCTCTGGAACATCACCAAGGTGCTACATTATCGACTGTCATCACTCAGCACTTTGCACTAGGGCTGCACGATAAATCGCATGCGATATTTAACGCGCATCTTGTCAGAAAATATGTTGGTTTCCAACTCCTCCGGCTATACTGAAACCTAGACCTGTCAGAGGTCAGAGTAAACCATTTGCTAAACCATTTCCCAACATTAATTATAATGATTAAATATCACAACATAGCATGCCTTATTTTGGAATCTTTAGATAACAGACGCCTTTACCTTTAGGACCTTTTACCAGCTTTACATCCATTATTTTTTCTGTGACAGCTTTTCTTCTTCTGACGTACAGTCTAACGATGCAGCCTGCCTCCTTCAGTGCCTCCACAGCATTGCTGTGAGTTACGTCTCTCACATCTACATCATTTACCCGCAGTATACAGTCATTAACTCTGTACAGAGAGAAACGAGGGAGAACACTGACTAAACAGTCCAAAAAAGGCATAAATACCAATGATAAAGTGTTCCTGTGAAGTACAATCAATCAAAACACTAAATTGGTGTATAAACAAATTATCCATCATTGTAATCCAAGCTACATGTAAGGGAAGCAGCACAAGAGTTGCATTGTGTTTTCACACGGCATAACAGAGCTGCAGTTCTATACAAAAAATAATGTGATTTCTGGTTACTACACTGAGGATTTTCTATAATAACGGCTATAGCATATACTATTATTATCAGGAGTAAGTCACTGAAAACTATTAGAAACTTTTCCAGTAAATAACGTGAGGAAGAGATTAAATTTACATGAGGAGGGGAATCATATTTACTGTCCAAATGCTAATTAATTCACACTAAATCCAAACCTCAGTTAGAGAAGACTTTAAACTGCTTAAACTTCAGGATTAAGTCAGATTTATTTATAAAAACTGTGTGCCATACTGCTACATTAAACATTAAACTTGAACAGTAGTGTTTGGAGTCGGTTAGTGTCAGAAATAATACTTTTATTCAGCAAGGACTCCTGGAATTGTTTTAAAGTGACAGTAACAAGTGACAGTAATGCTACAAAAGAGTAATGTTTATAATACTTCACAAAATTACTGTTTTACTGTATTTTTGATCAAATAAATGCAGCCTCTTTCAAAAACATTTTTAAAAATCTTACTGACCCCAAAGAGTAATATATTTTCTTCCAATCACTACAGGAGATAGATATTTTGTTGCTTTATAAATGCCCATATTGCATTTACAAGCAAAACCATTTTAAATTTCCATACTAAAGCAGAAATGTAAATGCTGAAGTTTTTTTCTTTAAAGGGTTAGTTCAGTTGTTTTATTACCCTCGAAGCATCCGAGGTGTATATGACTTTCTTCTTTCAGACGAATCCAGTCGGAGTTATATTAAAAATTGTCCTGGCCATTCCAAGCTGTATCATTGCAGTCAGCAGGTGTTGCAGTTGAACAGTCCACAAGTCGTCAAATAAAGCTCGCGCATTCATAATAAAATGTGCCGCAGACGGCTCCGGGGGGG